CTGACTGAACTCTCTGGGAAACTCTTGGAGGAGTTTCATGCATGATGGCCCAGCTGCATGGAATGTATGAGGTGTGTGATTCATTGCAAGTTCAAAGCCAATGGCTGCAAAACACTGTGCAACTGTCACAAATTTCTCATGTTGGTTCACTATAATACATCTGATATCTGTACCGATGATGGTAAAACAATGCAAGCTTTGAACGTTTGCCCTGGCCATCAGCCAACGGAGAATCGAGCAATCCTCCTATACAATCGATGGCACATCAAATTCACTGACCCAATGTTGGTCTTTGAACCTTCCAAACAGTGTTCCCTTGACCCCTGGCCCGGGCTCATGTCATCCTTCCTCACGTGAACGATCATGAATGTAGCAACAGGTTGCTACCCCACCTGCAGAGAGTTGCGGGAAACGGAAACAATGCTCTCTTTTTCTGTGGAATCTCTGCACCGCTGCAAAACCAAACAGCCGATGCCTGAGATTCGGCATCCCGTCGCCCGTTGCGCTCCCGAATCAACGGGCTGTTCGCTTCCTGAACACCGCCGGAACGGTCGATATGGCTTCGTTGAAGCTGTGGGCTTTGGGCTGTTGGAAGTCATGGAAGCCAACAGAAGATTATTGAAGCAGCTCGTGATGCCATTGGCCAATCTGTACACTTGCACAACTGCTGCCAAGTGGAGTGCCCACGGGTCTTGACCCATGTACATTCCGAACTAAGGAATATGAAGCCATTATGAAGCCATGTGGAACATGCACCGAAACAAAGCATCATGAACTTGAACAATCATTTCTTTTGGTTCAATCCCACAGTTTGCATAACATCATCCAGCGTTGCTTCGCTCAGTTGTGCAACATTTACCAAATGCTCACTGCGATGATCCTGCGCCAGGACAGGGATGGAGTCCAACCAGTGGATGTTTAGTCCAGTTTAGTGCAAATATGCTACTGTAAAATAAGTGTCCTCTACAGTATTTAAACCTATCCAATGAATGGGTGTGTGTTAACCCTCACCAATGGGCTTATCCGATTCTTCCTTTCATCAAGGTTCAGGATTCGGGGGGCTCCCTCTTATATGCACCCAAATGTATTCCGCAGCCGCCGCAGCCCGAGTTCACTGTGCTGGTTTAGCGTAGTTGCCGGGGTTACAGGGTTAATCCGATGCATCTGCGCGGTAAAAACGGTAAAAATCGTTGTTTTTTTTTCCGTTTTTACCGGGGGGGCGCCCCTTTCTCTCTACCATATCCGCGGTAAAAAAGGTAAAAATCAAAAATTTTATGTTTTTACCGTTTTCCCCGGCGAGGGCACCCCTTTTTCGTCTACCATATCCGCGGTAAAAACGGTAAAAATCGATCTTTTTTTCCCCGTTTTTACCGCGGGGGCGCTCCTTTTTCTTCTACCATATCCGCGGTAAAAACGGTAAAAATCAAACATTTTATGTGTTTATCGTTTTTACCGGGGGGCGCTCCTTTTTCTTTTACCATATCCGCGGTAAAAACGGCAAACATCGATTCTTTTTTACCGTTTTTACCGGGGGGCGCTTCCTTTTTCAATACCATATCCGCGATCAAAGCGGTAAAATTAATTGTTGTTCTTTTTGTACCGTTTTGATCGAGGGGGGCAAACGGGTCTATGTTTTTTTTTCAGTTTTTCACGGAGGGTCACCGCTGTTTCTTCTGCCATATCCGCGGTAGGTAAAAATCGAAAGTTTTCCATCCAAGTGATGTAGGCTTTCATTGCCCTGCAAAAGTTAAAAGTTAAAAGTCATGAAATTTTGATCAATCACCAAACTCCTCTTGTCGAAAAGGGCACACGCTCCTATATGATAGGAGGAGTGAACCCCACCTGGTTATAGGAAGATACCCGGGCTGTAACATTAAACCTTTTTGTTGACAGAGGTCTTCTAGCTTGAGACCTGGTCCCGAGGCATTCTCGCGGTAAAAAAAACGGTCCAAAGTGAAAATTACTACTTTTGTTGTTTACAGTTTTTAATGAAGAGTCGCTTGCTCTTTTTGCTTCTACCATATCGTTAAAAATCAAAGTTGTGTTATTATCCGTTTTTGTAGGTGGACTTGTCCTTTTCTTTTCTACCATCTCCGTGGCAAAAACGGTAAGAATCTTTGTTTTTAATATTTTTTACTGGGGGGCGCTCCATGTTTAAATGTCATATCCGCGGTAAAAATGTATTTTTTTTCCGTTTTTACCGGGGGGGGCGCCCCTTTTTCTCTACGATATCCGCGGTAAAAACGGAAAAATCGAAAATTTTATTTGTTTACCGTTTTTACCGGGAATATCCGCGGTAAAAACGGTAAAAATCAAACATTTTATGTGTTTATCGTTTTTGCCGGGGGCGCGCTCCTTTTTCTTCTACCGTATCCGCGGTAAAAACGGTAAAAATCGTTTTTTTTGTTTTTTCCTTTTTTCCTGCGGGGTCGCGAAAGGATACCCCTTAGCAAAACAAGGCTCGCGAACCAGCTTAGCGAGCTCAAGGTCTTTGATCATGTCAGCCATACCTTCTTGCTTCAGAAGGATGGACCACAAACGCGGAATCTCCTGGGAAAACCAGTGAGAAGGCGGCCCCACATCACTCGACTGGATGAATTATCCTTGGCTTTCGAAGCAGGTGCCATGACAAACGTCTGCAGGGATCATCGTGGATTCATTGATCCAGCAATTGGTTGTTTGTGACTCACGATCTAAGAAAGTTGTTGAGCTAGAGCCACAGCAATAGCTTCACACTTGGTCTTCAAGAAAACGTCAACTTGCCTCCCGTGGCCTGTCCGAGGCTTGCACTTCAGAATTTATTCAAGAAGAGGTGGTTCAGAATCAAAGTCCACTGCTACCTGCTGGGAGCTTCGGATGTAGGTCGAGAGAACGCTCAAATTGAAGCAATCAATAGTCAACACGTCTTCGAACAACTCACGTTTCTCCCTTGAATTGGTGAAGGCATTGGTTAATCCAATTGAAGCATGTACCAGCCACAACATCAACACAACGCCATCAACATCCATCAACCACTTGTCCTGAGACCTTAAGACCTTAAGTTCTTCTTCACTGGCCTGAATGCAGCCTGAATGGCACCAAAAAAGACATGGACGGTCCTTATTGTCCGTCTGCTGGTCTGTACTTGTACAGCATTCTACAAACCGTCCGCTGAAGTTTCAATGAATGCGTTTTTCCGGACGACTCGGTGACTTTTTTTGTTCTTTTTCGAGTTGCTTGACAAAGAAACAAAGGGAACAAGGGGAAGAAGGGCCAATGAAACTAACCTCCGAACTTGAAGAAAGCAAGCTGTAAAAACCAAAGTGAAACTTACTTCTCTTCCGACATCTGCTGGCGAATAAAGGCAGTCTGTAGGAGATGCATCCTTTCGGTAAACCTTAGGTGCCTTTCACAGTTCATACCCCAGGATGGTCCACTGGTGCGCACAACACCGCCCCACACCGCGCGAGCGGAACCTTGGCCGTCTCAGCCTCCGGTGGATTGGAGGCAGCTGACCTGATCTCCATCCCCAAAACCCTCCGAGACGAGTCCAACTGGCAGCCACCAACAACATGCAGCGATATGTGATTTATCACTGGGTATATCCAACCATGACCCTCATAAAATGTCCCAGCTAGCCAGTCATTATCATCCACATCCATAGAATTTCATAGAATTACCAAACAAAGGTCAAAACCTTGTCAGAACCAATGACCAACCATAATTGCTCAAATCCGAAGTCATGTCCCCGTGTTCTCTACCCTCCACGGACTCTCAGGCTCAACGACAACACCCTTTGGACGAAGAAATCGTCAACCCCAGGGGACTCGGACGAGAGAAAGACGCTGTTGTTGAAGGCGGAACCTTCTCGCTCCGCCTGGCGCGAGGGCGGAACCTGCTCAACGGAAGAAAAGGGGGCGCTTGGAAGCAGCTGCTTGCGCTGCTTAAAAGCATTTAAAAGCAACATCTGACTGAGGCGGTGGAAGAAACGAGACTTGATGCCAATATAGTATGCAATGATCAGATTGTCACAGGATGTCATATCAGCGTCCAAACTCGTATTATATGGGCAGTCGATCTCTTATTCGTCCTGGAGAGATTCCGGTTGCACCTGCTTTCCAGTGCTAGCTTTGCGCTTTGCCTCGTAAATGCCCGGAAACCGGCCAGGCGATGTTGCTTCAAGTGCATGATGATCCTCTAAACAAAACAACAAATTGCGTATACACTGCAGCCACAATCGTCAGAACAGTGGTCCTTGCTTTTTCAGTGTGAAACGATCAAATGCGCCAAAGTTGGACATGTTATTGGTTGCGGATTGACAAGGCCGCAAAAATGACAAGGGGGTTGGAACAAGAGCTGATTTTGCAGCAGCAAAGATTGTATGTGGAGTTCTGTGGAGTATTGTAGAGTTACTTTTGTTTTGACTTGAGGTTTTGTTGGTTTGGGCTTGAATGCCACCCTTGCCGTTTTAGCAATATATATGTCTGTTCCACCCCGTGCCTCCACCGAAAGCGCGGCGCGGCGGACGGATCGCTCCCGCCTGGGGCCTTCCGCTGCCGGTCGCTTTCCGCTTGACTTCTTCGGTCCCGGCTCCGCGGCACCTGGGTGACCGTGGCAAGCTGCTTGAGGAATGATAGAAGGAAAACATCTTCCCCGTGAAGGGGGTTTACCCACAGGGAAAGTAAACATCACCTTGAATCACCCTAATCAAAACATATGAAACTGGATATTGAGGTGAGTCAAGATCATAAAGAACAATGCTTCTGAGGTTCCCTTTCAAAGAAGTCAGAGCACATTCTCGTGTTGCCTGTTGACTGTTGATTACATAAACCTTCGAGACGCCTGGAGATGTATAACCATTCAACAGGCTACAAGGCAGGCTTTAGTAATCAACAGAACTAGCCCTCATGGAGTCATCCATGGAAGGGGCCCCGATGAGCCGGAAGGTCTGCCGTCCATGTCCCGAAAAAAGGGGGCCCAGCACGATGGCCCAAACATAGAAAAGTCGATCGGCTCTTCTCACTTTCCAGCTGCAAGAAAACCAAAGTGCATGTTGAATTCCTTTGAAAGCATTGCCAAGAACACACCAAGTTGGCTCGGGAGGCTTGGGCGAATCGCCCACACACCCACGACGTCCATGATCCCGGAAGCCCTCCGGTGCCCTGGCTCACTACACACGTCCGCAAAGGACAGGAGCTTATTGCCCGGAAGCCTCGGATGACCGGTGGTTTTGATTGGCAAGAGGAGAGGTCATCTAGAAGAACATGCACCAACCCAGTTGGACCATTCTAGATGAGAATCTAAATATATCTGGCAAACTACGTCTAAGTAGGGAGTAGGAACTCAACATCACTCAACCTTGTATTGATGTCATCGACTCTGAAGTCACGTGCTGTTTAGGGGTCAAACATCTGCCTTTTGTCCGAACTATTGTATATACTATTTCGTATAAAGTATTGAGTCTTGATCGAAGTGATTCAAAATCATGTTCTGCATGGTCTCTACCAGTCCATACATAAACATGCCTTGATCTTTTCCGCATGCGCTGCGACCTTTTAATTAAGCTGCGGCATGTCCTGCGGTCGGCTGTGAAGCTTCCTCTTTCGTGGCAGTGAAACGGAGTTGACGTGTCATGTGCGCTGTCGCGCGACAGACCTGCTATGCCCGGCAAGGCCGCTCTGCAGGAAATTCACGCAATCATGTCTGTTCCTCTGGGTTACTTTGAACAGTCCATTGACCATTTGTGACCCTTTGAAAGGTCAAGCCTTTCATGCAAGGATTTGTGCTACTACCTGGCGCTTTGCTCTAATGAACCAGCATGTACTGGGGCTGCTAGGGGTCCTGGCTACAAAACGACCGAATACAACGGGCTCCATACCAAGCAAAGTCATAAAGTAACCTTCAACCAAAACATGTTGTAATGATTTGTAATGGAACTTAAGGGTTGTTCAATGCTGTTCACTCTTCCTTTTCACCGAAGCGCACTGTTGTAGCGTCCTAAAGCGCACCTTGGTTTTGGATCGTGTTGATTGGATCGCAGCGAGCGCAGCCTCCGCCAGCGCTCATCTCCCTCTCCCACGTCTGCTTGATCGTCGCCTCCCACAAGTGTGAGTGCCAGGGTCAGCTCTGCAAGGCAACAGACTGGCAGAGTGCAATCGAGAAATCAACAGTTTCACCTTTTGTTGACAGACTTAGCATCTGACATTCATTGGAAAGGATGTGATACATTTATAATATTATATCATATCTTTCCAACCTTCCTGAGTGGCTTTTACTTGTAGGTGACGTCATCAGCCATGACAATGAATAAGTTGATCAACCAACATGCCCATTAATCATTAATCTTGAGATCAACACATCAATGGGTTTGAGGGATCTCAGTGCTTTGTAGTCATCAGATGCCTCTTGTAGTCCGTCACGATCTACCGGGGCTGTACCGCTTGCGGCACGCCTGGCGAGGTACACACTCTGGCTTTGGCTTTGGGCTGTTTTCCGGAGTTCCTGAACAGGAGGGCCCTCCATTTAAAGATATGTTTGTATTAAGGCATCCAAATGTTTAGCCAGGATCCACGAGTCCACGGCCCAGGTCGGTTGGTTCTACCACGGATTTCGCTGTTGAAGAGCGACTGCTTCAAGAGAAGCGGTGTCCGTCCAGCCTGAAGAGTCATGAATCATTCAAAATGGCAACAACTTCATGATGCTTTCCATGTCCAAGTCTTATGTTCGGGTCATTTTGGGTCCTGTCCGGCATCACACAAGCGAGTGGCACCTCTGCCGCCCATCACCGGCGCACCCTTGCTGGGGCTACTCATCAGGGCCTGGTCCGCAGGCTCTTAGGTGCGCAGATTACTTCTAACATCTTCTAACTACTTCTCGTGGAAAGGACAAAATTGTCTTCGTCGTTTTTCGGACAGAAAAACACTGACATGGAGGGCGTACATCTCTGATATCTATGATGGCCTATGAACAGTCAGTCCTTGCAGGTCGTGAAGGATTATTGAGGGGGGGTTGGGTGGCTTGTCCCACTCCAACAAAGACAACGACATACAAGGAAAATGCAGGAGACCATATATATATAATAATTATATATATATATATATCAACTCTGCATCTTACTTACTCCAAGAACTGGCATGTCTTGAAGACGTCGAAGCAAAACTGCGGGTTCATTTGCATGAACATAGATTTTGGATGCCTCCCCACCCACTCAAAACTCTCCCGAACAAAAACCGTAATTTGGTTTGATACATCTGGTATATCAACTGACTTGGTTGGAGAATCTGGCAAGTAGATGGCTCAATCTGATGATACACAGCTGCCAACTACTTGCGCTTTACGCACTCAGTCGGCAGGTGCCCAAAACTCGGGCGTCCAAACTTCGCAAACAGCCACCTGGCATGTCTGCCGACGAGCACAGGAACCCCGAATTTGACAGTGCTCCACAAAGGCCTTCATTAAGTAGAATGTACAATGTACAATACAAATCGATTCGATTCCAATACATCTCAGGTGTTTCTTCCCTCAATCCACACTGCATCAAACCGCGCTTTTTCACACTGCTCAAAGACCATGATCTGAAGTCCCCACTTCAGAATGGAGCATGACACTCCAACCACCCTGTTTGACTGCTCTCGAAGGCTCTAAGGGAGTGGACTCCAACAAGTCACCTTCGGCTGGCCAGTCCATGTTACGCAAGTGGTGAAGAGTGTCCAGTTGAAGATCGTCCAGTCCAATCTATGCAAAACGATGTTGGTCCGAGGAAACCAACATGCCTTGTGAATCCTGATGCCCTCTTCCAACATCTTCCAAAGGTTCACACCCAACTGCAACGGTGAACACTGAACGCTGCCGCCTCCGCGGAAGGCACCATCTTGGGATCCCCAGTGATGATGATCTCCGCCATGGCGTTGCCCTGTGGCTGGTTCACCTGTCCGCTGTACAAAAAAGGAAGCTACTAGTAACAAGGGCATCGCTACTAGGAGCAAGGACGCTACTAGGGGCTCCTGGCCAAACTACTAGGAGCAAGGACGCTACATGACGCTACTAGGGGCTCCTGGCCTTACTACTACCAGTCGGAACAAGAAGCTACTAGGGGCTCCTGGCATCGCTACTAGTGTTGACATGTGTTGACCATGATGAGGAGAGAAATCCTCCTGGATCGAAAGAATCATTCAAGAATATTCCAAGCTTCTTGCTTTTCTGGCTTCCTTCCTGTTCTCAAAAGACCCCCAACACGTGACATTCTATGATGTCCAAACAAATGAAAGAAAGAACAACTTCTTTCTCAACCTTCTTTCATACCAGAGTGAATCCATCTGCAAATCCTGCCCAACAAATCCTCGCTCAAGAGCGCACCTTAATGGTGACGCCTGGGTGATTCTTCCGGATGGCGGTGATCGTTGCACCTGGCGCTTTCGCGCGTTGTTACGGCCGGAAACATGGGACGTGGCGGCTGGTCGGGGCATGAGCCCCAAACTTGACACTGAATACATGCCAGAATATATGACACAAACTATGACACAAGTATTGTGGTGAGTTGCTGGTTGAATTCATGTCACTTGAAAGGCAATATATGACATGCAAATGCATGGGCACCGGACAAAAATCAACTCCAATGCCGAGTAGAATGAAACGTTGTTGCCAATATAATATACATACCACAGATTACCACAGTATAGTCTGACAATGTTTGACATAAGACACAAGCAACTCCTTGGAATTAGGCACAACATAAATATAGACCAACGCCGGTTCATCCAATCACCCACAACTTCCCGCCACCAAACCCGCCAGGGCGCCTCCTCTTCCCATGAGCCCGCCAATGAGATTCCCTGGAAGGATTTCAGGTGAAACCAAGGGGACCACAGTCCATGTGGTATGGAGAACCATGAGAACCACCTTCGTCGAGCATCCAAAGTCGGCGTTTTTTTCAACCTTGCCTTTCAATCTTCTGTGTCTCTTTGAACCCAACAAATCTGCACAGTGAGGCCTGCGGCCTGCCAGTTCTTTACCAATTTGAGCAAGCTGTCATGCAGAAACAAAAAGTCCTGATGTACCAACTACTGTCCAAAACATTCCAAAACCTTCTGAAGCCAGCAGTGTCATCATTGACCACATGAACAAATAACATTCTACAGTACTATCTCACTCACTCTACATTACACCAAGAAGAACAGATGCTAGGCTCACACCTCCATAACAACCTTGTTCTAAGCAAAAGCTGGATGTTTCAAAAGCCAATCCCTGGACATGCGATATCATGAGATTGTGTCATGGTGACAAAACGAGCCATGGCTTTTTCTAGTCACTATTGATGAGTGTCTATTAACTCCTGTTGGCAAAAACTCCTTGGAGGCATGTTCCATCATCTTCCCGCGTTCCCAGATCCTTTGCTCCAAAATAAGTGCCTCCCCGGACCGCGTGTCTCCGGACCCCGGGCTCGTCGTCTCGTCTCCGGGTCACGTCTCCTGGGGTGGGGATCACTCGGTGCATGCCACCGGCGCCATTGACCTGCGATGCCAGGAGCCCCTAATAGCGTCCTTGCTCCTAGTAGCGATGCCCTTTGCTCCTAGTAGCTTCTTGTTACTACTAGTAAGGCACTTGTTCCTAGTAGCGATGCCAGGAGCCCCTAGTAGCGTTCTTGCTCCTAGCTGACCGACGCCAGAACTCGGCGCCTTCGACTCCCCGTGCGTTCGGCGCCTTTCGGGTTTGGTGGTCTCTGCGACTCATGTTGAATATGTTTGGTCCCCAAAGGGAAGAGGATTCCCAGTGGAGTGGAAGGACAGGGGTCGGGAATGCAAAATAGGATGTCAATGACTTGCTTGTGGACTGGAATCCTGAGCGGGGTGATACCTCAATGAGTCAGTCTAAAGCTGCATGTGGCCCAAAGATTCTCCGCAGCGTCTTAGGGATACTCATTATATCCTTGCAAAAAGACACCTCCTGACGTTGCAGCCAATCCTGCTGCAAATGTTTTTCTATACAGTGCTTTGGCCAAGCCCATGGAAAACCAAAATGGAGGTTCTCTTGAGATTCGAGAGAAAAACAAATCCCGAATTGCCGGTGCCTCCGCCGCAGCCAGCTGCGCACCGGTCATTGGCTTGCTCAAAGCTAGGGATTCCTCCTGTGCCCACTCGGGGTGCTTTCAAGAGGGCGGCGAACTTCGCGAGGGCCGCTTCTTTCGGGAGATGGTTCATGAGAAAACAAGACCAG